AAATTTAAAAGAAAGATTTGAAAATGTGATTTCAGTTATTGCAAACAATTAACTTTTATCTTCCCTGAACTCCAATTCAAATATTGCTTGGCTATAAATCAACAGCATAAAAAACAATTAATGCACAGCTTTCATATTTTTTTTTAAATTATCCAAACTCAGTCCTATTAGACTGACTCTCTTCTGTGTCACCAAAGCACTACCACAAGACATTTAATTAGATATAAGCAGACTTATGAACCACCATTTATAAATACACAATTACAAAAAAATTCAAGGAATGTCACACTTTGAACTGACTAAAGATCTATGTAAGACTAAATGTAGATGACTGGAGGATGTCCATACTAATCGCAGGATGAAGATGGACACATGGCAGGACATGAATGTGGAGGTAACTGCATACTATGTTATCAAGTTCTGATCAAAGATTCTCTTCAAGAAAGTCAGCTCATATTTAATACTAATTTTAAGTAGGTAGAAAGGATGATATTTTAAGTGCCAATACTGCACTGTGGGGTAATACAAATGCTTCTTCATTCCTTTCAAAACATTTTTTAAAACAACAAAAAGAATTCAGTAAGGATTGTTGAAAATTACGTAAGAAAGATGTGGAAGAGGAAGACCAATAAGAAAATCAATGATTCTTAGGTCTGATCAGATATTAACTACATAATGTTATTTTTAAGACAAGAACTAAAAAAAATGAAAGTCTGGTTTAAATATTTTGCTCCCCAGTCCAATCACATCTTATTCTATAACTGCTGATCCTAAAGGACAGGAATTCACTATAGAAAAACACCTCAGCTGAACGAATAACAAACAAGAAGGGAGAATAAAGTTTTTAACAAACAGAACTCAAAACAATCCAAAGTACGCTCGGGAGCATTTAACAACAGATATCTGTAGTCTACGTAAAATCAAGTTAGTAACTTCAAAATTATGAACAAGAACTAAAGCACTCAAAAATCAGAACTAAAATTAAAATCAAGCACTCGACACTGTCTGAACTTTCTATCCTTAAGCCTTTAAAGTACACACTCTAAATTACAGATTCTCTACAATTTTCCAAAATCTGAAGTATAAAAAGCGCAACTTTTCATACAGCCTGAGAAAATCAAATCACAATGTAGCACAGAAACAATGCAGAAGGCCATTGCTTTTGGCTTAGTGAAACCTGCAAAGTAAACAGGGTTTTATAAACTCAGCATTTGTAAGTTTAAGACAATTTCAATTTCCGTAGATTTGAAGTGAACTCTACACAAATTCAAGGTAGCTCACAGAAGACTTGGAGTATTCCAAATTTTGAACTTTCTGCAATGCAGGTCACCTTGCAAACAAACGAATGACACTAGATAAGAGGAAAGAGGCTACAACATTAAAATCACAGGAAGGGCCTGAAAGACACCTTTCCTCTATGAAATACAGCCCTAGCTAACTGTATATAATCTGCATATAATCTGCTGCTACCAGCCTAAACTTACTTCTTGAAGCAGGTGTGCTGTGGCTATGATTGAGACTTGACATGCCCCTCAAATTTCAATCCTGCAAGAGTATAGCAATGAGAAATGTAAGATGAAAACCCAAGAAATTTTAAAGGAGGTAGAGAGAGAAGATGGGTTGATACGCATACATCCGATGAAACATTCAAGTGGGTACCATTTTCTAAGGTATTTTGACTGTTTTAAAGAAAAAAAAAGTAAGGAAACTGTTTCTGGCCTTCACTAAACTGAGTGATAAGCACTGTATGGAAACGCTTCTGTAAACCACTATTGAAAGAATTTCTGGCTTAAAGTCAAATGGAAATAGGTTGTATGACTTTCATGAGACATCTGCATCTCTAACATGAAGTCTCCTAATTTTATGACACAAATAAGAAATTTATTCTTATAAAGAATTCTTATTTATTCATAAGAATTTTATGACCCTATCATAAGAAATAAATCTGGACTGTATGTACCAAGCATGGTATATCGCTGGCAAAACAAATCACAAGAAACTAAATTAGTCTCATAAATTACAAGAAAAACAACATTACAGACTACTGATTACATCAGATTTGTGAATTTGTTTAGAATCTACTTCTTAAATTGTCCCTTTTTTTGTAAACAAGCATCATGTATTTAAACAGCTTGTTTTACACAACATACCGGCAACTGAAACTACCAGGCTCATACTGACATACCAAAAGAACAGTAATTGAGAGGTACTCCAGTTTCATCTGGAGAGCAGAGAAGCTGCCTTTAAGAGTGTGTTCCTATGTTGATTCAAAATTAGAGATCTAGGAAGATACACCCTGCAACAAAGACAGATACAGTAGGCCTTTCGTATTCCTGTAACAAAACACATGCTGTAATCTCCGCAATGGAGAACAATCCAGCGTCAAACTACAAATTGTCTTAAATTCCCCGTCACCAGGCACATTATATCAATGCCTACCTGCATACATAGACTCATACACACACACAAACACATTTCGGTAACGATGGCATCACTCAAAACCACTGAAAACAAGAACTCAAGGCAGTACAATTCCCAGTTGCTCTATATCCTGCCTCAAATTCACAGGCAAGTCTAACAGCATTAGCAAGGATGAACGCAGAAGTCACCTCCAGTGACACATTTTGTACCCGGAAGGTAGGACCCCACTTAGGCTAAGAGTGTTCATTACAAGTTTAATTGTGAGAATTTAAATAAACCTAACCAGCGAACATGGTAAGGAGAAAGCGGAAACTCAACAATTCAGAAATCGTGTCGGCACTATTCATTTTAATACTCCACATAAGCAGAAGTGCAACAAAAGCTAAATTGCAGAACAGCTTCATGTACAGTCATATGAGTGTCTCAGTGATCTTTAGAGCTAAAAATACAGACAATGAAGTGTCTAACAGGCAAGGAACTAGTGACTAAATATCACACCTAGCTGACTTGGTGTTCATGCATTTACTCAGCCTTTTTGTACAAATACATGAAAAATTTGATTCAACAAAGGTATACTATGTTAGAAAATGTCAACAGCATAAGAATTACAAAAACATACAGGTTGTTGGAATGACTTAACGTTAATTTGACAACCTACGTATTTCTGTAATTGTACGTATACATATGTTATCAAGTATCTACGCTTGTAGTGCTAAAAGGTGCCTTTACAGTGTTTCATACTGCTATATTTAATATACTGTGAAACATTACTCCTTTATCAAGTTTTCTCAAAAGATGCCAAATTATCATTTCTAACAGAGGAGAAGAAGAGACTTCTTATTCACAGAAGTGTGACAGATATGCTGTGCAAAAAATGGCTGAAATTCACATTAAATTCTTTCCAAATTCCATTGGAATTGGAATTCCAAATAATTCCATTATTACAAAATGGTAGAGGATAATTCTCTTTTACACTCTAATAATCAGGTAGAATTCCAAATAATTCCAGTATTACAAAATGGTAGAGTGCAGCTCTCCACTTGCTGCAGAAAAAAATGAGACTGAAAACACATCATCATTGATGATGACTTAATTCATGCTGACTGGAGCAATATGAAAACTTCAAGCGATTTTTTTAAGCCTTCCTGTGACACAGAGAAAGCTCAATTTAATGGACTTGCATCTACGTAAAACATACTGTCAACCTGCAATTAAAAAAAGGGCATTTATGAAAAAGAATCCTAAGAAAGTTGCATTATACAGCTGAAAAAAACTCTACAGGAAAAGGGAATTAAAATAAGAACCATATAATATATCATGGAAAAAAATATTTGAGCCATTCTTTGTAAGTCTGTTTAATCAAGTGTACATACAGTTCACAGTTCCTGCCACCAGGAAAGAGGGAGTTAAAATACCTTTCCTTTCCTCTCTGATGAACACCTGTTTAAAAGGAAGGGCTATTAAAAGAGCTAGAAGAGTAACAGGAAGGGTAGTGTGTTTGGAGGAAGTCACAGATCCTTGGGTGGGCACAGAGGCTTGGGCTGATCTCCAGGAGAGAGAAATTCTGGTTTGTTAGTTGCACTGTTTTGATTGATATTTATGGTCAGACCAAATTGCTGAGCAGACTTCACTATTTACGGCTCCGTCACTCCTATTAGTTATCCCGCAAGCTCACAGAATATTTTGGAACAGTCAATGCAAATGGTAAAAAACAAAACTACTGAATTATAGCAGCAATATGTGAAGCATCCACCAGCATTTCACTTTGAGCTCACTGCAAACTCTAATTAGTAGGTTCTAAATAGCAAGGCCACGATTTACGTTCTTCTTAAGATTGCGTCAACTTAATAACAAGCTTCTTTGGAAGAGGTGGCACTTTCACTGTTTGAAAAGCAGACAGTATTTGGGGCCAAGAAAACAGAATCTGAGCTCCTAAATTCGAAGTTTGTAAAATTTTAAAAGAAGCTTATCAGTATCAAACAATCTGGAAGATTTAGTACAACCTGTTTTAGCACTAAGTGCCTCAGTACTAAGAACAGAGTCAGAAAGGAAGAAGACAGACCACACCGACTTTATCTGACCGGTGTAAAGAAAGTGTTTTTGCACCCTTACTGTCATTATCATAGTGAGAAATGGCTATACTGCAGATGTCTTAGGAGAACAGCAAAACATGAAAAATCCTCACAGCAAAGCTGTTAAAAGCTGATTCCTGGAATAAAACCTTGAGGCTTGCTGAAAACTCGGGAAAAAAAAAAAGGTAAATATTTCTATCATTTCCTCAATAGTCTCATTTATAGTTGTGGGTCTAAAGGTATAGCCATGGCAATAAATTTAATTTTAGGGGTCAGAAAGCAGTGGCAGCCTGCAAATATTAACCAGGACTTTTGTCGTCTGTCTGTCGCCAGCCATCCAGTGCTTTATACCTCTGGAAGTTAAAGATGAAAACTTTCTACTTACCATTACAAATAAAAACATTACTCAGTAATTTTTGTTCTCTTTGAGTCCAAATATGCTGCACTGATTGCATATACAACAGAGTGCTTTAAGCAACCCACAATTTTTAAAACAGTAGGACTTACCAATCCACTTAAGGCTAAAATCCAGATGTAGGAACCAGAGGTTAAGAGCTAGAAGACAAAAGCAGTGATTTAAAACTTTTAATTTTACATAGCTGTTGTTGTCTGAGCTAACACGCTGCAATATTATATAGGCTATGTACTTGTCATGACAATGGGAGAAGTCAGACATTTATTTCTGTGAAAATTCAGTTTAACATCAAAAAAAGATGTATTCCAGAAGTAGCAGAAGTGGAAAAAACAGAGGGATCCAACAATTGTTCTCCTTCTACAGAACAATACATGTTATTTTCATATAGCATGCTAAGTATAACAGGATGTCAGTTATAGGCTGCACAGAAAAACAAGTCTGAAAGATAGACTGAAGCAAAGGAAATGACTCAGCAGCAACAGGAGAAGAGTTCCAAGTGGGGCAGGCAGTGCAAGTGAAGCTCTCAAACATGCAGTCATGGAGAGACTAAGTGTGAACATCGAAGTGAAAGAAATGAAGTTCTCACTCAGAGGCATATTTGTCGACATGAAATCACAGAAACAGGTTGGAGCGACCTTTAAAAAAAAATCCGGATAAGCCAACAGGGCAGCCCATCGTTTCTGGTAAAGTATGTGATTATTCACCTGGAGAAGGTTATTACCAACTGGAAAAATGGGCTGAAAATTAGACTGATACTGGTTACTAAAATAGTTCTGCACGATGCTGACTGAATCATACGAACACCTTCCCTTCTACGCTTCTGGCTATGGAAAGAGGGACTTGAAATAAGGGCAGAGTTACAAATGAGGAGAAGGCAAACGATTTTTCCCCTCAGCCTCTGTGTGATGGCAGCAAGGGAAAGATCCAGTGAAGACAAAGTGATCAGTAACAGCTGTGATCTGTATTGCAGGTAGCATGTGTATGAAAGCAAAAGGCAAAGGACACGACGGAAAAGAGCTCAGATAATATAACGGCTTTCCCAAAGACTGGAATAATAGTGGTATTGATGGGTTCAGAAGGGAGGAAACAAGATTTCTGTAAGATCAAGGAAACAAGGTGCTGGAGCAGAAATCGAAGGAATCCCAAGGTTGAACAGCAAAATGGATGAATGAAATATTCACGTGGAGCACAAGTCAATATTCTGAAACTGACTATTTATTCTAAAATACTCTGTACCACACTTCACATAACTCTGGTGCTTTCCATCGCTAGTGCTAGAGCTATTTTTGAGTCCCTGAAATATATAAAAATGAGTACAATTTCTCCCAAGTTTGCATATCTCCTGTTTCATAATTCAGGTTGTGACATAAGTGTTCATTTGTTTCTAGGCTGGTGGGGCTTTTCTGTTGTTTTTTTTTTTAACAACTACTGCCTTTCTGTACCAAGTACCTATATTTTTCCACTCGTATGTAATGTATTGTAACATATTGCTGTTCCCTACATTACACTATTTTAAATTACCTGTCACATGGTAATGCTTGATATACAAATAATACTAATTTATATAAAAGTGGAATTCAGCCAAAACCTTGATCATTTACTGACAGTCTTACGATAGAAAAATACTGTACTCTATAGCTTTGTTTGTGCTCTAACAGACAAGGGGAAAATAAACAAAACCAAGAATATAGGCAAATTAGAAAGGTGAAAAATACACATGCCTTATCATCAGGTTCTGTTTTCATCTATTTTCATCTAGTTCATCTTGTTGACCAAAATAAAGTAAATTATATAATTGTCTACTGTATTTTCCTGTGCAAGACAATCAAGACAGAAGACAACGGAATAAGAGATCACTTGCCCACCACTTCAGCATATAGAAATGCATACTAGCAATACACGTTTTTCAGTAATTTAATTGATGAGACATTCACTAGCTAAATATATGTGGAATTATATGTATGGAAGCATCACAATTCATAGATGAACATACAGAAATACTAGCTACTACATTAATAATTCATTAAAAGATCAACAAGCTAGTACATACCATACCTGTAAACCCAGTATATAGACCAGTGTCTTGTTTGTGATAGAAAAGTGGCCCAATACTTGTGTCACTTGCACTCTTGGAATGGAGGAATAAAATGGTACAAACAGAGCAAAGACAGGACCCAAGCTGCAAAAAGAAACATAGAGATGATTAATAAGAATGATAGTAGCAACAGTACTGTAAAACAACCAAAAGTAATTAATCCTAAGAACTTAACAATCAAAATGTAATACCACCTTGCAAGCGAAGGTCTTTTTTGGGAAGCAATGATTTGGTAACTTTTGGCATTCAGGATAATAGATTCATTAGCAATTAATGAATCGCTAGTCTTGGGCAAATATCTTTGCAAAGAAGGTGACAAAAAGTATTTTATTTCCAAATGTTTAGGACCGGAGGGTCCTGAATAACCTGCTATTATTTAGTCGAATAGCAGATTGTTTCTGTACAATACAGCACACAAGAAGAACAGCAGTAGTCTCCAGCATCAGAACAAAATTTCTTTGATCCAAGCAGACAAATGGTAAGGATTATACATATATATCCCAAAAGGTCATATAAACCATTTCACTTACTAAGTTAAGCTTCATATTTACCCAGGTTTAAGGTGTAGAGCATTGCCGATAGACTGCAGTATCTAAGATGGGAATATTGACAATTTGATTTAACTTCCTTTGCCAGTGAATTCCATGGCCCTACAAATAACTAACTTTCTTTAGGGTCCTCACCTTAGTCATAGCACAAGATATTTTCTAAACCTCGTTGGAAGTAGTTTTGTAGAATTTAAAACTCAAGCACCGTTTACAATGACCAGACACCTAGATTGAACTTGTGAACATAACCAGTACATTTCATATGTCCAGATACAAAATCCGTGTTCCTCATGATAAAACATCCAGAAAACCAAACCATATATTAAAAACAACAGGAGAGGCCACAGCAGAGCCAATGCCAAAGGTATAGATATAGCAGATTCTAGAAGAAAAATGCTTCCTAGGATGGAGAAAGAGGTGGGAAAAAAAGGTCACTTGAGGTAGACACGACCTGCTCCACTGGCAGAGCTGCGGTGGTGGTGGTGACCTCCAGGCAGCAAGCTGCAGGCAGCAGGCACGGGGAGGCTATTGGCAAAGTGCACGTCTCCCCCAGCTCAATCCTCGCCCGTGCTTCTGCGCTGCCTTGTGCCCAACAGGCATGGGATGCTGCGGTGCTGCACAGGTCAGTTTTTCACTGCTCACCAGCTTATCGAAACTTTGGAGAGTTGCCGTTTCCACGGGCCTTTATGTGAAAGGGATCTACTTACACTCAGTGGGAATTCTGCAGACAGCATAAACCAGGACCCAAATAACTTGAAGTGCTCACTCAAAAATACACTTCTCTTCCGGAGGAGCTACTGATCAAGGAGCAATACTATGTGAAATGATGGTCTGAGTATTAAAACTTACATTTCCTGAATAACTGCCAAATGCAACACCCACAGCTGTGAAAAAAAGCCCCTTCAAATATTATTTTTACTCATTTAATGGGCTGTGGCTTAAGAGCATTTTGTTATCATTTTGTTTGTTATATTTGAAGTTCAGCTTGCTGAAAAGCTTCCTCTCTGAGGACTTAAATACAGTTTAATTATAGAAACATTTTTAGTACCATCTGTTTAACGCACAGTCTTGATGCACTTGAATGTATAAAGAATGCTAATTCAGGAACTACTGAAAAATTTTCAATTTTCAACATAATCCTTCTTACATAAACAAAAGCCACCTGTATGAACACACACAACACACTCTTAAAATAAATTCAAATTACTCAAGTTGTAGGAGTTGATAGGCACATTCAAAAATAACTCTTCATGAGAAGTGCTTCCATTGTAGACAATATTCACTGAAGTAAATCAGGTTTTATAAGTGAAGAGAGAAGAAAAAAGATCTTTTCCCTTCTTAGAAAAGGAATTTTCAATGATCTCTTTCTACTCTTACCAAATGACCTGAGGGAGTACTAAAACTGTGGCATGCTTTTCAGGTTTTATTCCTCCTGTGATAAATAGTGACTCACACACAGAGAGAGATTTCACACGCAAGACTGCACTCAATCATAAGATAGGAAAGTACAAAAAGGAATTTCCCCTGACTGCAAGTGCGTTTTAAAAAGAGATAAGAGAATGATGAAAGGTTCCTTAAATGTTAATATTCACCATTAATGTCAACAGAGACCAGAGAAAGCACCACCCCAGTCCAGGGTAGTGATCTGTGTAATTTAAGGTCCAGTGTCTGACACTGCTCGATACCTGACAATCTAGAGGAGCTAGAGGAAACCTAAAAATGAACTTTTCTCCTAAAACAGGCACCACAGACGTATGCCTCCAAAGACATCAGTTTTTTGGGTTTTAGATAGAGTTCACATCTAGTATAAACAGGTATTTCACAAATATCCTTTCAGATATCTTTTTTTAAAACATCAAAACTAGTGCCTTTCAAAACATTTTGTGAAACTCATTTGTACAGATGAATCCACTGTGTGAAAATTTATTCCGATTAATATTAAACTTTCACTCTCAACTTTCATTATATAATTCTGTACTTTTACTTCGAAGATTTCAATTAATCTTTTCTATTGCCTTCAGAATTTTCTATACCTTACTCATGCCTTTTTTTAGAATATCTATATGAAGATGCTGCTTGTCTACAGTTGGTCTGTCAGAGAAGTTATCTACGTAACAATAACAGAATATGACTGACATAATAAGGGACAACAAAAGGATGACTAAGGAAAATGTAGACGTACTGCTTAATGGAAAAAGGGACCTAGTGACAAAGAACATAGGAAAAGCCAAGGTACTCGATGCCTTTTTTGCCTCAGTTTTCATTGGTTAATTTTGCCCTCAGCCATCCCAGGTCCCTGAGCCTCCCATGGGACTGGCTCTCTTGAGCCCAACTGGCCATACAGGAGTCAATGGGACCAGATGGGCTGCACCTCAGGGTGCTAAGGGAGATGGCCAATGTTACTATCACCGAAACATCGTGGTGATCAGGGCAGGTTCCTGATGACTGAAAAAATGCAAATGTCACACCTATCTTCAAGCAGGATAAGGAGGATTCAGGTAGCTACAAGCCTCACCTCTGTCGCTGGGAAAGTTATAGAGCACATCTCCTAAAAGCCATTTCCAGACACATGACAGACAAGGTGACTGCCAATAGCCCCTACGGATTTACCAAGGGTGACTCTGGTGCGGTGGACAAGGAAGAGGAAGGCAGCAAATGTTGTCTGCTCTAACTTTAGGATGGCCTTTGACTCAGTCTCCTCTTGTGTCCTTGAAGGAAAACTAGGGAGATACAGACTGGATAAGCAGACTTGAGGGAAACTGATTGCAGTGCCAGGCTCAAACGGTTCTGACCACCACTACAAAGTCCAAGTGGCAGCCAGTTACTAGCAGCTTCCACAGGGATCCACACTGGTGCCAACTCTATTTATTGTGTTTATTAATGACCTGAATGATGGGACAGAGCGCGCTCTCAGCAAGTTGGTGAATGACATCAAACCGGAAGCAGCAGTGAATACTTTGGAGAGCAGAGCCGCATTCAGACACTCCTTGATGGGCTGGAGAAATGGGCTGACAGGAACCTGACAGAGTTCAACAAAAGCAATTGCAGAGTCTTCCACCTGGTTTGGAACGACCCTGTGCATTATCAAAAGCATAATCACCAGGCAAAGAGAAGTGATTGTTCAGCACTTCTGAGCTTGAACACAAATCATTATGTCCAGTTCTGGGCTCCTCACTTCAAGAAAGGCATTAATATTGGAGCACCTCTTCTATGAAGACAGGCTGAGAGAGTTGGGGCTGTTCAGCCTGGAGAAGAGAAGGCTCCCGGGTGATCTTATTGCAGTCTTCCAGTACCTAAAGGGAGGCTTCAAGAAAGCTGGAGAGGGACTTTTTACAAGGGCATGTAGTGATAGGACAAGGGGCAATGGCTTTCAACTGAAAGAGGGGAGATTTAGATTAGATGTGAGGAAGAAATTCTTCACTCTGAGGGTGATGAGGCACTGGAACAAGTTGCCCAGAGAAGTTGTGGATGCCCCATCCCTGGAAGTGTTCAAGGACAGGTTGGACGAGGCTTTGAGCAACCTGACATTGTGGAAGGTGTCCCTGCCCATGGCAGGGGAGTCTGGAACTAGATGATCTTTAAGGTCCCTTCTAACCCAAACCATTCTATGATTCTGCGTTATACTGGAGCAAATACAGCTGGGCATAATGATGGTCCACTACCGTACCAGGTTGCCTGGAGCTAGAATTTATATCCTCAGGGACACAGCCTGAACACACAGCCCTAAGTAACCTGTCCTTGTTGGACATGCTTTGAAATGAGGGTTGAACTAGATGATGGCCAGAGGTCCTGTCAAACCTAAGCTACTCTATTATTCTGTGAATAATCAAAGCTTTGATCCTGAAGCTCATAATCTCTGGAGGGATTTCTGTTCCTATATTTACCTAGACAGGTATAAACATTCATCCATGTACTGTAAATAAAAGGACGGTTCTTAACTCTTTTAATTACGTTAATTAATTGTTTGGTAACGGATAGTCAGATTCAACATCTCCAAGTGGAAAACATACTCTTACTGAAGGAGTACTTCAATTCTCTCTTTTCCTCTTACTTTTGCTTTTCCCTTCATCCCTTTTAATCTCCTTTCCTCTACTTTCTCTTCCTTTCCAGAGACCTTCAGCCTGTCCCTTTGTTCATTATACTATAAGAATACCAGGAATATCCTTTCAAGTGCAATGATTAACTTCCACTAGAAACTTGAGATGTCTGTATGGAAAGAAGAGCCATACACACAAACACATGCTGACTTTAAACTGAATTTATTCCCACTTCATGTTTAGGAAGTTAATTTCAGCCATGTAGGTTAGAAAATAAAATTTTCAAACAAACCAGAAAACTCTAAAACCTGAAAGATTCAATTCTAGAGTTTGAACACTCTGTATGGACATCATGTCCATCCCAAAGGTGTACTGTAATAGCAGGCTCTACAATAATTATATCCTCATTTCGAAAAGCATGCTAAATTTCAACATCTGCAGTGAAAAAGAAACACAACAGGCCAGATGGGAACATTCTACATCGTATAAAGTGATGAGATTGGTTTTGCTCAGAGAAAAAAAAACCAACTTGACGAAACAATAACCTTGAAAAAAATAAATCAGAGATGTAGAAACTACTGGCAGAGAAGAAAGAATCAGGGGCATGCTTCTCATAAGAGAAACATGCTACTTGAAGTTTAAAAGGGTGAATGTTAAATGCAGATTAAAATAAAACATTTTACCATTAGTAAATATATGCACAAAATATAGAAAAAATGGTTCTAAAATGTATGCACAAACGGCTAGAATGCTAAATGTTACTTCTGCAAAAATATCTACTGTTTTCAATGGAAGTTCTGCAGGATTAAACTTGCAGAAATAACCTGTTATTTTATTCAGAATGACTCACTACGCTTACTAACTGCGGTGTTGTATTTTTCTTCATTTAAGTTCTTCATAAAAACATTAATCTGACAAATTCGCAAGCACGTATTTTTTTGGGGATTAAAAAGAACAGTTATAAAAGTAGCTGCAGATAATATACAGCATGTAAAGTGTGCTTATAATTCAAGTTACTAAGTTACTTCAGGGATCTACATTCCTACAGGCCGTCCAGACACTGCCATATTATACTTAAGGTGCCAGCCTTTATTCTGAAAATGTTAAACATTCTCAGTAAGATTCCTTAAAATGATGTTAACTTCCTGGAATATGATGACCCGTGATAGTTGGGATCCTCTGACTGATGGAGCCCAGGACTTAAAGGAACCCTCTTAAAGCACGCAACCCTTCTGCTACACATGAGCAGGACACGCCAGTGCCTGAGGCCTCTCAATATCAGCAAAAGCATTAGGGTATGTTACCCAATAATCATGTATCTAACTGCCAATATTTCATAGGAATGCAGGAAAAAAGCGGAAGAAAAACCCCAAGACGATCGAGACAAAACTTGAAGTGAAGTTGTGCATCTTGAGAGGAAAAGAAAGGTTCCTCCTGCCCATGTGTATCTCAGCAGAATCCCTGCAATTTGAGGTTCATTAAAATATGAGACCAATCAATCACTTTACAAACCCCTCCTGAAGACAGAAGTCAGACACCTACCTCACCTAAAAAAAGCTTTAGTTTTTAATGCCAAGACTATCCAACAATTACTCTTTAAACTGCTCGGCTCCGTTGTAAGCCACTTTCAAGTTCCTTTCCCTTCCCATTCGTGAGCTAATCCAGATGTTTCCTCTTCTGATGGCTAGAATCTTTCTTCCAATTTCAGTTTGAATTTATTCATTATTAAAAAGATGCTAACATATGTAATCATGATTCTTTAGCTTTTTCTAAAAAGATTAGTTAATCCTATCTCCCCTAAACCTTTGTTGTGCAAAGCTGACTTACGGTACCCGACCATTTCTATTCTACCAGCCTGCTGCAATACACAACATAAAATGTCTTCAGTTAGGCATTCACAACACACTGCCCTCAGGAAAGCGATTACTGCAGACTCTGAAAGAATTCTTCAGTTTATAGCATATGAAGATAATTTTTTTTTAAAACAAATCAAGGCCTTTGTCTTTTATTTAATATATGACTAGCACACTGCCCTTCATGTGAACACCACAGTAGGGAGATGCAGATGAAATGGAGAGAGTGGTATAGGAATAGCTGGCTGTACTCTGTGTCACAATTAAGTAGAGTATCACAGGGACAACTATTTATCCTTAACTGATAAGCTATTGATGTCAACTAGGTGTTGGAGAGTTAGTCACTCGTTCTCACCTACTGACAGTTGCTGCTTTGCATCAGATGTCTGCAGCAAGTGATTGATGGTGACATCCTACCAGGTGGCTTTGCTTTCACGACTGATGATATTAACCAAACCAGAGTTTGAGTTCAGCAAGGAGGAGTTTGCGCCTTTCTAAAAGGCAGGGGCTCCCAGTGAATCCCATACTCCACTAAGTCTGGCACAGACGCTGGAGCTAGGCAGAAGGCACACGGAGGCATGAGGAAACACTGAAGGGATTTAGATGCTGTATTTTGTTTAGGAAGAACAGTTCAACAGCTGTATTGAAATTTTTAGTGTCTCGAATTCATCTAAGCTTGGGTGCTTAATTTCTTCATGTACATGAACCTAACACACTCTATTTGGCTTCTGCAGAGCTATCATGATTCACTGGTGAGTCATCATTTCTGTTCCTCTTATTTAAATCATTTAAGAAGTCATGTTTGTCCACAAAAAAAACAAGGATTCAGCTACAGGTTAGTTCTAGACACTTGACCTGTCTCCCAGAAAACAAAAGGAGTTCGTTTTGGAAGGAGAGGCAGTTTTGCAGTTAAGAAACAGGCTGACTGGATTCAGCTTCTGGTTGATCCACAGACACCCTGTGTAATTCAGAAGTCATTTCTTACCTTGGGCAGTAGCTCTCTAGATATGGAACTGTAACTCTAAATCCAGTACCATTTGTAAACTGCTCAAATAGAGTAGAGACTAAGTAAGCAGACAGAAAACAAATCATCACAGGCATCGTAACATGCTGGTGAAAATATTAACTGCACTGCTTTGATGTCACCATCTCCAAAAGTAACAAATTAGTATATTAATTTACATGCTACTCTCCTTGCATGCCAAAAGCAAAACAGTAAGCTTTTGCACACAAATGGCAAAACCAAATATATATCACACTTTTTGATACACGCCATTTCTTGGTTTAAATGTTCAAATCCTGGGACAGTCAAACAGATATTGAAGAAGCAGCAGCTGTCTAAGAACAGAAAAGAAATAGCTAGAAGAATAAACGGTGAGCAAAAGAATGCAACCTGCATCATTTAGCTCAAACAATTAACATCACACCATGCTAGGCTGGATTGGTAGCTAATACATCAGCGTGACTCAAAGGGTACAATCTAGTGCAGTATCTTAATCAAAGGAAGGCAGTATTTTATCAGATCAGAGCAGGAAACATATTGACATTATTTTATAATGCTAAAACTATTTTGAAATAAGCATTTCCTTTTATATGAAGCTGTGATGCTAATGTCAGTCCTTGAGCAAAGACTACTACATGCCTGTGCATCTCAAAATTTCCCGTTTCTACTACATATTTTTTGCTGCTGGACAGGGAGCCATGTTGCAGTATTACTTTGTCTACATATGAATCAAGTTCCCTGTGCAATTTCCCTTTACACAGTCCTTAATTCTCATTACTTCATTTGAAGAGATTGTACTTTGTCCTGCAGCTGAATAATTAAAAAATAATTCAAAAACAGTAAAGGAAAAAATCCAGAATAAGATCAGTAAGTTCTCTCAAAGACTTTCTGAATCTGGTGTTAGAAGATAAATGCCCCATAAAAACTGAGGTGCTGAAAGCTCTAGATTGAGTCCTTGAGTTCCCTGGCATCTCAGGGGAATCAAGCCATGTCTGTACTGGGAGTTCAGCACCAGAAAAATCAGTGTGCAATGCCAACTAAATGCTCCAAGCAACCAGAAGAGTAGCTCACAAGGACCTACTTCATTCTGCTATAGCAGAAACATTTCCCATAAGACTAGGTACATTTAGTAAAGTTTCACTTTGTCATTAGATCTGCATTTACTTTAGGCTTTCTGATGAGATGGACATGTTAGTCGAGATCGTATCACTGCACAACTCCAACAATGCAACATCAGCAAACGCTTGTGCTGTGAACAGCCCTAACGTCTCCAAAGAGGCATTCCACCCGCCGCATGGCTTGGACCCGCCAAAAATAGAATCACCATGCCTACTTGCTGGTTCTTTAAAATCAGGCCACTAAATGAGGCCACTTTAAAGATAAATAGTCCTTTGCAGTCATGAATGATCAGTATGAGTTTTTAGGGAAAATCCCAGGTAACTCTCAACCACAGCCTCTAACAGCAAATGACAGGATTTTCCATCTATCTCTGATCTCCAAAACACTCGTAACAAACACATGATTTAACTCTTAGATCAATGTTCTTTACCCAGAAACAAGGTTATTCCAGGTAATAATGGGTTATTTCACAATTTGACATCCCATTCCTTTTCTGTTCCCCAGCCACCCATATCATTTTATATCATTTTAGAGGAATCAGATTTGTGTTTTAAAAGCTTTTTATCTTTAATGTATTTACCTTGCATGTGTATTATTATTATTACTATGATCCTTGCTGAAAATGCAATAAACAGCTTACAAAGGCACACATTCTCATTAATCTCTCAAACCACCAGAGTTCTTCAACTCCCTCATAGATTTTCAGAGAGCATTTCTGTAAAGCCTTGTCATTACGATACTAAACCAGTGCTGGGAATGTACATAGGCTGTCGAGACGTCTGTTTTTACACAGCTCCTCAGTATGCCTCAGTTCTGAGGTTTTCTTGTGCTGTGTCAGATCTGATCAGTAAGAAGCAGTTGTAAAGCGTGCACTGATCACACGGCTCTTTGCTACAAACTAAATTTAAGTTATTTTTAAATGCAAATGGCATATAAACAAAGCTTTTCGCTCAGGGATTTCAGTTGGTCAACAATTAGCAAAGTAAATATCTGGGTGAAGTCCCTTCTATGAAAGTCAGCACTGCGTAACTTCAGAGGGGAGGCAGGAGGGTTACTCCTAATTACTCTCTTTGAACAAACTAATTGTAAACGGATTAAAAATAGACGCTTTCACATCCCATAAAACAGTCGGCAGCAAATCAAGACCAGCATACAAACAAGGGTTTTTTTTAAGCACTTGAAAAAAAAAAAACCCTACCCCTCCCACAAGAGAGACTCACGTAATCACTCTTGAAAACAATGTGCAAGGGTAAACTTTCACAGTCAAGCCATCCTGCTAATGCCCTTAACTGCTCAGAGGATCCAAGAAGCTACCGATATGTAAGTACAGAAATGAATTAACTTCTTAATTTTTTTTTTCCAGCAAACAACAGCACACAATTCCAGAAAGATTACTTCTTTTTTGCATTATATTGAATATTTTCATGTGGAAGGAAGGATAAATGATCTTTGGATGGGAGAGACAAGGCTCGTGGAAGAAATCCTGTGATATTTTATGTTCACATATTAATATGCTGCCAGTTAATTTTTATTTAAAGGATTTGTTGACCCATAGCATCAACAAGTTATTTCAAGTCCTTTCTCATAATACAGCCTTAAGACAATCGCAGAGATACATTTGACACTGTATGAGCTTAGACAATTTTTTTAGCAATAGTAATTTAAATTACAATAATGCAGAAATAACTACTGTACGAGTAGTAAGGGAAGCATTGCCATTTTTAAGTCATTCACTGAACCTCACAGAATACTTTTACGGTAGGAGACAGCCTTAAAAGAAATCTGTACCATGGTCATGAATGCATAGCTTGCTCTATCACATGCGCTCCTTGTCTATGAAACAGCCTTTATTGCCAGCTCAAGAACTCCTCACTCACTCTTCTCACGTCTAAATATTGCAATAGAATATTTTAAGAATTCCAAGTTTTATGAACTAATTTCTCTTTTACCTTCTGACACATATTTCTTTCAAAGTTTTCAGAAGGAATTATTTTTCTGAACCGCAATCACCAAACATCTTTCTCATTACTGATTTTCCTGCCACAAAGCTAAACAAATATTACAAGTGATACTATTTTTATACATCTTCCTAATTAAAAAGGATCTATTTCTCCTATTATACTGGCAAAACAAGATAGACTGTTCTACAGACAGTAATTCAACTATCATTTATCTTAAAAAATAGAGACGGCATGCATGCCTTTGAGCACAGGATACAAGAGGTCTCTCTAACATTTTCATAGCTCCTCCTGAAGAGACAAGGGAACTGAAAACTTACTTGGTGATTAGTCTTTAAGAGCTCAAATCTCATCCCTTTCTGTTCGAAAGATTGAGGAGTATGTATACATGTAATGAAGAGTAAATTTAAGCTAGACTTCTCAAGTTGTAAACCCTAAAATTAAAGACTGAACCTGTACAGGTTCCGTATTACCCAGAAAATAATAATAATAAAAAATCATATAAAAGGTGTGCATGTTTTCAGTACTAAAATATTGTTATTTGACCTCTTTGTTCTCTTGCTTGCAGGATTGTAATTGTCAGTGGCTCAGGTTTTTGTTTTGTTTATTTGCTATATTTTAGGTGCTCTCCTTTTTACATTTAGTATACTTAGGCAAGTAAGCTGAAGGGAAGTTAATCATCTCAGCATCAGCATGGCTTTTCACATTAACATGTATCTTTGGCAGAGATTGTTTTAGACAGTTCTCACACTTTTCAAAGGATGGATCACATTTGGAAAGAGAGATCCAACAGATAAGAGCAAGACATGTACATTTCAAATGACTTCCATTTTTTCTTTAACTAGTTATGCAGTAATTCACCCCAACTTCTTTATTTCCATTTTGCTTACCGTAGCCTCTATTACTTTTGAGCGCCAAACACAAATGTCACATGACTTTGCAAAATCTATAGTAATAGATAAAAGCAGGACCATAAAGATCCCACAGTGTGTGCATCTGCAAATTCTGTTAAGCACTTAAAGAATATTATAATTCTTCATAGCCATCATTAGGACAATTTCACTCATGAAATGCATACTTGGGATCCTCTGACATGTGGCTTACAAATCTGGCTTTAGTATTCCAACAAATTTGAGTCTACACCAGGGAAGAATAACGGCACTACTCTGGAAACTACCTCACCAAAATTAGCTGTGGGTTGTGACTTGGGGATTCCATCTTCAGGTCATTAGGCCTACTCATTGTCATTTAGGGCACAAAACTCAACAGCTTTTCAAAAAAGGTAAATTAACTTAATGCACTAGAAGTGTATGAGTGTTAAAGTATTAGAAAGAAACAGGAAGCTTTAGGACATGTCTATCTCTTGCCTCAGCTTTTATTAAAACACATGTAGTTCCCAAGCTGCCGATACATACACCTAGGTATGTGTACCTTAGGTATATGTTCTTTCTATATTAACAAAGTGTTCCACTACGCAACTTAGCATGCACACTTTGTAACATACATAACTTGGTTGAATTAAGCCTTTTTCTCAAACAGAGAAAACACTCTACAACGAAGATCACTTGTATGGTAAATTAGAAATTCAAACAGTAAATATGACTGGACAACAGAAAACAATTAATTTTCAAGATTAAGGAAAAAATTAAACACACATAACCACCACATATTTTCCATCTTCTACTGTTTTTAAACTCTGTAAGGCTTACACATCTTATACCTATGGAGGACTGTAAGTTCA